CCAAATTTCCATCTACTCCACTGTCACCTTGACTTGTTTGAACACTCTCATTATTGTATAATGTTTTAATTGCCACTGTTGAGTTGAAAACATACACTCCTGTTGTTTTTTTTTACAATTTGGACATTAATATTTTTTTTATTTTCTTACCCTCTTGTAATTTACTTCATTTACTGTTATACAAGAATAATTATAATACAACTAAAGCCATTAAAACATTGTACACCGATTACTTTGTCACATCTTGAAAAATATCAAATATTACCAGTGTTCACAATCTGTTCATAACATAAAATTTAAGGACAACAGGGGACCTGTTGATCCATCTAGGCCATCTCAGCAACTAAAAAGTAAAGACTACAGTATTCTTGTGCCTTGCAATACCTGTTGATAAAGTACAAAAACATTACTTTAGGCTTTATTGTAAGTGAAAGATATGTTGATCTCATATATTTATATATAATTCATTTAATAATGCAAGTATAAAGATCTTGCTGTTTCTTTGATGTTGACATGTATTGAAGAACTCAAACATTTTTAAATCAGGGTTTATGTTATTCAACAGTTTAAAAATAAGTTATTATTATATTTGCATATATGAAATATTGTCTAGCAAACTGTTGTATATGGTTATTTTTGTTTCTTGGGAGTCTTAAAAGTCATGATTTTTGTCTTTGAAAAGTCTTTTAATGTTACATAAGCTCTTCTGTATGAACCTTTAAGTTACTAAGAGTTTAAAGCCTTACCAGTAATTTGTTTGACTTGACAGAAAAATATTTGAGTATGAAGTCGTCTAAAAAATTATACAATAGTGAATCACAAGTTCCAGCTGTATGCTTGGTTGCATGGATGCCATCTTGATTGCTAATTCAAAGTTGCATGTATTGGCTTTTCAGTGCAAGATTCTTTAGAATATATTTTTATCAGCCTGCCCAGTCTTGCTAGAAGAAAGGATTAATTGTAATGAGGAAACAAAAACCTTTATGAGTAGCAATTTCAACTTACAGAATGCGGTTGCTTCTGTGAATAATGCTTATACTACATTATCCAATTTATTCAGGTACTGTATTCACAGCAAGAAACACATTCCACTACACATGGTTTCCTGTATTAGTTATTTGACTAAAACATATACTCGTCTTCTTCAGCATACTTTTGTTTTATTGCTTCTCAAAGTTAAGATTTAATAAAATTTTGTTTGTTTGTTTGTCATTAAGCACAAAGCCACAAACTGGACCATCTTTGCTGTACCCACCTCGAATATTGAAACCCAATTTTTAGCAATCAAGTCCTCAAAACTTAATTCTGAGCCATCAAGAGGCATCTAATAAATTATATTTTCCCTGGGCTTCTAAAACATTCCAAAAGAAATTAAAGTATGAACACTTGTGAAAATCATAAATCAAAACATACATAAATGAAACTTTAGCCTATATTTTTGACATATGCTGTAATAACAAATGTAATCTGTAAATTCCAATATTCGTGCCAAGTTTTCTAGGATAGTACTTCTATAATATCAGCTATAACTCCTGAATAAAAGCTTTGAAATTAGCAGTATAAAATATACTATGCTATACACTCAATAACTGTTTTAATCTACAGAGCCTTATTAAGTTTATTTATGTATGCTTTTTCAGTGTAACCAATTGGAAGTTAAAAAACAACAACAAATATCTAATTATTATTACAACTAATGCATTATTAGCTTTTCTTTTACAAACTTCAGAATATAAGTAGATCTATTCATGTTTATGTTGATTTATAACATATCAAGTAAAAGTTTTATGTAAAGGTACAAAACTTCTTAAACACTTTTTTAGTTTAGTGATGAAGTTTTTACTCCTTATATTTCATATGTTGAATTCCATGAGCAATACAGAAAAAATCTTCTTACCACTTTGAAACACCATTAAAAGTATAATGTATTTAATTATACTTCTTGTAGTGTGATTGTAGTTCTTTGTAATAGCCCTCCAATTAAAAATAAATTTAACTTCTATCTTACCTTATTCCTTAGTGTAAGGTGATTGACTCAAGAGAAGTGTCCAAAGAATTACTATGCTCTCCAGTATTACTTCAACTGCTGTTTAATGTTCCATTGGCTTGCAATAAAGACACTATCATCTTTCAGTGGAAAACAGTAATCCCTGTATATAGGTTATATACCACTGTTAAGTTAGTACATAAAATTCACTTAATTTTTACAGAAGCAACTAAGGCGTGGTGAAATATCAGTGCAAGTACAAATTATAATTAATCACTAGATTGTGACTTGCCACTCTCAATACATTTACCATGCAAATAGTGACATTCTTTTTTTTTAGTGAGTTGATAGAGAAAGCTACCTGCTTGTCAGAATTCATGAATGAAACATTTACTCTACTTTAGAATACATTAAAATAATAATAATGGTTGAAAATGTTATGAATTGAAACTAAATAAAAAAATCTTAAATGTAGCTGTGAACACTGAATACAGAACATTAATATATCAGTGGCAGGAAAAACATACAAGTAGAATTTCTTTCTTTAAGTTTTGGCTGACTGGTGATTATTGTATCTCAAATACTTTTTCTAAACTCCTCTGGCAGTAGAGGGCTTTATTTTTTTATCTTATCCTTTAAAATTGTTGTGGGAACTATCATATTTTACCTTGAATGTTTTTGTCTTTTATGTAAATATAGTCCAATAGGAATTTTTAGCGGCTCATAAAATGGCTACAAGGTTTTGAAGTACAAACCTTTAGCTCATACCTTTGTCATATCTTGACCGATTTGAGATTAATTACCATTTTGGACTTGGAAGGTCAAACCCTTTTAATTGATGTATTTGACTATGCCTAAGATCTCATAGATTAATTTACTCTAATCTTGACTAAAAGAATTTCAATTTGGTGTACGCTGGTAGAGATCCTTGATGAGCTTGGTATTTCTGGTGCACAAAAATATAGCTAATAAAAAGGAAAAAAAAAGTCTCACAGATTAAATTACTCTAATCCTGCCAAAGAGAATTTCAAGTGCAGTGGCTATTAGGAATTCCTCTTGTTTAGGTTTATCTTAACTGGCATAGAAATAAAATAAACAATAATTAACTTTTAACCATTTTCCATTGGGTATACAATGGGGAAGAAATCAACTGATAAAAATAGTTATTTTCTGCTATTTTTTTTCAATTTGAAAATAATTAAGAAAGTGAACCTTTGTTTTTTCTTTCTCAGATACTGTAATAGCAAATGTGGTATTTATTCTTACAATTTAATGTTGTCTTACTCTATTATGCAACTATAATTGGTGTAAAATTTATATCTCTTATAAATATTTTAATATACTCATCACTAATCCCATTCAGGTCTAGAAATAGTACACAATGAAACACTGAAATTAATTATTTAAAAAGAAATTACTACAAATTAAAACTTGCTTATTTATTTCCAGTAAAAATTTCTGTAGCATTTTGTTTTTCATGCAATTTTCCAATAAAAGAAAAAACGATGTACAAATTAATTTCACCCACGTGCCAGAATGTACAAGACATACAGGTCAAACATGGTGTTATTATGCCTTTTTATCTTATTAAAGCTAATTTTTGCAGTCTATTGAATTGTATGATTTGTTTGAAAATAAATATTTTTAGTTAAACAAGCTATAAGTGTCCTACAAATATGTATCCAAATCCAAGCAGAGAGCAGTTTATTGCTGTGTGTGCAGCAGAGGGTCAAAGTACAAGTCATAATATTTTTAAGTTACATTTAAAATTTCATCAATTTATGTCCATAAACTTGGTGTCAAAACATAGTTTATTATTTAAACTATAATATCATAAAAATTTTGATTTTTTAATTTCAAAAGAATATATTGAAATAAATTCCCAGTCTTCATTTCTCTGTATCACGTTATACTTCTTCACTATGAATTTCCCATTTGAGATTATTTCTACTCACATATCACAGTGCTCCAGGTAATTTTTGTCATGATCTCTACGGTGTAGATCAAATTTGTCTCAATTAGTATTTACCAAAGGTGGTCAATAATTCAGTATCATGGACAAGCATCTGTATGCCAGTTTATGTAGCAACTGATTCATTTATAAGAGTATGAATGTGTCAATATTATCAGATTCGTATCTGGCCTCAAGAAAGTACTACAAATACACATACACAACTTACACATTCATTTTTAATTTTCTTAGTTCTATTTGTATAGTTGTAAAAATGCCTCACCCTTCTATTCTTTGCACTGTCCCACATTTTAATTGCAGGATTGGAATCATACAATGAAATTTTTGAGCCTAACATTACAATTCTCATTAGACTTAAAATAAGACCCAAAACTCGAGCGCTTTCGACTAGTTGACTATTCTTCTTCAGGAGAACAAAGGAGAAGAATAGTCAACTATTTGAAAGCGCTCAAGTTTTGGATCTTATTTTAAGTCTATTACACTTTATATGTGATCCTTTGTGCTAACAATTCTCATTAAACAATGTTATCTTTTTCAGTCTTCACAGAGCATCTGAATTTTGTTTTGAGCCTGTTTTATACAGAAAAGGCTCTTTCACAATCTTTAAAGCATAAAGCTATTTGACACAATTTTGATATGTTAGGAGATTGATCACCATGCAATTTAATAACTCTTACATAAGCGTTCAGTTTTGAGTTTAAATATGCCTTTGAACCTAGGCCATTCATTTTGTACCAAATCATTCTTGTTAAGCATGGGCATCACTCCAGTTTCAGTGTTTTTCCTAGCTTCCTTTGAAATTTTGGCAAGTTTATTGGCTCCATGAAAATCTGCAATATCAGTAACAGCCCCACCTGCTAGATCTTCATCAAAAATAGAAGGCTTACGTATGATTTGTTTGTGTAGAGAAATCTACAGAAATAATATACAATGTTACCAAAAAATCTTTTGATGTTCATTTAGGAGGTTCTAGAGATTATGCAAATAAAAATAAGAAAAACTTTAAAATTGAAGTAAGTATAAGTTATCCTTATAATAAAATTCATGTTTCATGCAAATACTTTATTGAAAAAAATTGATTTTTTTAATACAACATACGTATCAAGTTTACTAAAAGATTGCAAATTTTCGTTAAGATACATATAGCAATAATTAATTCTCTAATACACGCTTAGTCCATGGGACGTGCAACATTGCTAATGCAGGATGTAATACACGTGGTTTTAGGCTTACAGGTGAGTTTAGACCATAAAACCAATCTGTAACAAAGTGAAATTACAGAGAAACAACTTAATATAAAACAAACAGAACAGAGAAAATAATCATGTTTGCAAACTCTGGAAAACATCAATAATTGAGGGTACTATCAACAATTGTTATCAATTCTAAAATTTACCATTGATGCATTGCTACCTGGACGTTCATAATTGCAATCTATTGATAGTTTGATGTATCATTACACTCCTAGTTGTTGTTTGCTTTCTTTTTAAGCATGATACGTCTATGTTAAAAAATAGCCATTTTCACAGTATGCAACCAGTGAGCACACCAATTCATAATATAGCATATTGGTGATAGTACATCTGTAACTGCTATGTATAGAATATAATATGACAGGTATCTCAAAAAGTCATGCATATTTAATGCAGATATGCTAGCTATCTGGAGCACTGTATTATCTTCAAGTTTTATAGATATTGCTAAGCTATAATGTAAATTTTGAGCTTCCATGTAATATACTTTACTAACATATAGACAAGAAGGTTAAACCCACATGCCATGTCCCTCGTATCACATTCTGTCTTTCAAAAAATGTCAACAATTCTTTCTAGCATTTATTATTGAATTACTTTTAATCAGTAAAAAAAAAAAGATTATACTTTAGTGAATTCTCTACAAAGCTAGTTCATTCAACCAGAAGGTTTTGAAATACTTGGCCTCAGTTTTTTATCTGCCATTGTTGAGTTTAGTTTGACCAGCTCAAGAATATTTCTAACCTATTTATAGCTCACTTAGAAAACCAGTTAAATTAGTTTTAGGGCACTGTTTTTAGTGTATAATAATAATACTGTTTGTTCTAAACTGCATATCTGAAATAAAAAATTAATATTTTGTGAACATCAACACTGTTACAAATAAAGTAGGCTTATGGTACTTTGTCTACCTGATGGCAAAAAAAACAACAGTACAGACATAAGAACTAAATATCTTGATTTTTATGTATATTTTTCATTTATTGTTATAAAAGTTACTAAAATGTAAAAACTTGAAACTTAATAGGTTAGATACTAAAACTCAAATGAAAAAACGTAAAGAATTTCTCCATGAGAAATACAAGTGAACTGCTGTCTATGAGGTAAATCAATACTCTGTTTACTGTAACTTACACCAAGCTTCCTGCCAAGTGATTTACTACTTTATCATACTAGTTGGATGAGGTTCAAAACAGTAAAATTAAAGATAGATGTGCAAAGTGTTACAAGCCTGAGGCTGTTTAGGACAAATAACTAATTGTATGTTACAATCTGCAGTCATTCTATACAAAAAAAAAAGAAAATGTACTTTCGATTTATATCATATTTTTCAACTTTCACTACAATTAATGTTAGAGAAAGTAAAAGATAAAGTATATTTTTCTCAGAAAGAAAATTTATTCTTTTAGGATGTAGTAGAGAATATTTAACTGAAGTACAAAAACTGTCAGATGAAAAAAATATTGTTTTTTACTCTTAACATGACAAATCACTTTGCACTCAGACTATTCAGAATCTGAGTCAGACTGACTCACTAAATTCAAAGACAAGTCTTTAGTAGAAATACTTCTTTTTATGTGTATAAAATACTTGTTATGTTTACTAAAAGATAACCAAATTTCTTAACAATTTACTTAATAAATTTGGAATTATAGTAAACATTGCTATGTATAGCCTCACAGAAATGGGGGTTGATGCACTACACTTGTACCATTCACATAAGATTATGTTGTTTGTGTCTTTTTTTTTCTTAAGTAAACAGTAATTTTGGCAAGTGGTATTTTTCTGTAACAGTCCCTTATGCTGCATTATGAAAAATGACAAAGACCACTGCAATTTGTTTGCTTACTTGTACAAACATCAACTGAGCCTTCATTATTCATTCTCTTCATGACAAAATTTCACTAAAATTTTCTTCTATTACTCTCCAACTTCTCTTCACATTCTGATTAACTGTGTGCTTTTCTTCACACCTGAACTTTCCACAGATGAGAACTCCGTTATTCTTATTCTGACCCCTTCTTGTTTTCTCTTCATTAACTAACCCCACTTCTAATCTTGCTATACAAATTATTTTCGCCATCTTCGCAAAGCAATTAAATTCTTCGCTTCTTAATTCTTCATCCTTTTATTTCTTTCTTCAAGCCCTTTTGATTTAAAACAAATGGAACAATGGTTAGATAGAATAATTCACTTTATTCATAACATACATGTAAAAACATGCCTCATCTTACAGATGTTATTAGCAATAATTTACCCATATAAACATGGTTGTGGGATACACCATCTTTTAAAACTAAGACTGAACATTTTACAGTTAAAATATTCTTTGTAAAGTTTATGTCAGTACAATATGTTTTTGTGCAGATTACAGATACAAAATAAGTTTCTGTAAAATGACATAAATAATGCTCTATTACTGAAACTGATACTACAACCAATTTGACTATAATATTTCAGTGAAAATGCAAAATTAGCTAATACACCTGTATATAAAATATTGTGCAAAAAAAAACCCACCTTTTCATCTAGAAATGAAGATATAATTAAGTGGAAAAGAACAGTAATTTACCTTCTTTATTTTCTCTTGAATACCAAACAAAATTGTATTCTTCTTATTTGATAAAAAAACAAAAAACATTACTTCTTTGGTGTTAAACAGCCTCAGTCCAATTTCCTTTATTCCAATTTCTAAATTTAAATGTAAAAAGTTAATACCAATACCTAAAAAACAAATATATTACTGCTCAATAGTAATCTTTGATGCTTCAATAAATTGGTAATATCTTTAGACAGAAACTGTGGGCTTACCCCTAATGAAGAAAGTTTGACCATCTGAAAGTGCTTAAACTATAGGATTTCTTATTTTCGTCTTTTCTTGTTTTCTTAACAAAATGAAGTAATATAATGTGTATACTATAAATAACAATTTTCCACATAGAGATGATTTAATTTTTTTTCCACCTGAGAAGAGGTTCTACTTATCCTAAACATTTCCACTTGTGATTTCAAATGATAATGAAAATCATACATAGACAAAACTGGTAAGCTATTTTCAACAATAATATAACACTTGTGAAGTCTTTATGGTGCTAAATTTTGTTGTAGTAATGATAATTATTTACTGATTCTTTTGAAGTTTTAACATCTATTTAGACAAGTATTTTCAAAAACTTTATTTTTATTTGGAACACCTTTTTTGGGGTGACACAAAATTAGAAAAGTGGAATTTGCATGTTTGTGCTAAGTATATATTTTTTACTTTTTTAAAAAATGGAAGCAACTGAAAATTTCTAAAGTTACGACATACTTTTTTTTCACAAAATATTTTACTTCATAAGTGTATTTCAGTGTATTTATTGCTGCAAAGAATAACTAATAGTACAATGACATAGTCACTCAATAAAAACCCTCTAAACTTGGCATAGTACAGGTGTAGTTTTTGGATTAACTATCACCTTATCACAAATTTCAAAACAACAGTGCAATAAATAAAAAAGGAACATACTATAATTTTAATTTATTTTAACATGTTCAAAGTGGAGCCTAAAAATTAGAGTGAAGTTCAATTTAAACTCAGAAATCAGTAAAATATTTACCAATAAAGAAACATAAGGAATAAACTATAATCAGGCTAAAAACCATGAAATAAAAAGTGAACTCATATAGCACAAAAAATCATATAATGACAAATGTTAAACTGGAAACTCGGAAGAAATAATTTCTGATAAACAAAACTTAGCAACAGTTCCAAAATATAGATCACTTTAGTAGACCTATAATTACAGTACAATAACAGCAGTAACTTAGCCTGAGGATGAATCTATTTAATTTCATATCATTTGAAAACATCTAAAACTTTTATGCTAAAATTTCTAGTGTGTGTATGTGTGTATATATATATATATATGAACATGCCTTCAACATGAAGAAAGACTAGCTAAAGCCCTTGAAGACCGTCTACAACAAAAAACGTCAACAAAATCAAAATTCATTGGAATATACTATTATCTAGGCAAATAAATGAAATTAGTCTAACCATTAAAATATTACATGTATCCATTTCACATGAAGCATCATAAAGTCAAAATGAAAACAAGAGAGAAATGTATATCTACAAAAATCCATGATAGGTTGTCAAGGGTAACTATTCTTGGATCCATGCTTTATTCCACTTTCAGTCTCCTAGCAGTAGTACTTACGAGGTGAGTATGAACGGGACCTCGAACGTGAATATCTGCGGCCATGATAGTTTGATGATGGAGAGCGTCCTCTGTAGTTACCACCATATTTCGGACTAAACACATACAAATAAATAACACAAGTTATCATTTTCGTTACACATAAATCTAAAGTTAACATAAAATTGTTTGGTTTGTTATATAATAGCAGAAGTTAAGGGTACATTATTGACAAATCTGAAGCTAAAATATTTCACATAAAGCCAGAAAATACTTACAAGTTAGGTTTACCCATGTATATTCCTGGGGTTGGGGTATGTGCTCTCTTTGTAACAGAGTAGTCCACTCTAATTTTCCGTCCATCAATTTCTAGCCCATTGCATCTTTCTTTGGCCTGTGGAAATCATGTATTGAAAGAGAATTTAGCTGCTATATTGATGAGGATTATTTAATTGATGTGATAGTTAAGTGATCAAATCTGTAATGTTGTCACCAAGAGTATGATGTAACAAAGCTTCATTCAATTAACATACTTAAATTTTTTTATGGATGGTGTACAGAACAATGGCATATTTACAAGTAACACTTTACTAGGATATGCACATTTAAAATACTCCATTTATGGCATACATAAAGCAGAGTGACTATATGACATGCAAAATAATGAATGCTTGTGTGACATGAGTATCACTATCAAAAACCATTTAGATGACCATCTGTTCAAAGATATTTGTCATCAAAATCTATCAGCAGTAGCAAATTAAAAGGAATATATCTACCAATAAGAAACATTATGTCTACCAAATACTAGCTCCAACCATCTCATACAAAAGACTATTAAACCTGAAGTCCATGCATTAGTGAAACTGAAATCCATGCCACTTCCACCATCTCTGTTCAGTATTAATATTTCAGCACAGTTAATGAGTTCCTGAAAAAATACTGTGTTAAAAAAAATCAATTTCATATAGGAGTATATATATATATATATATATAATAAAGTAAGGATGCATTCTGAAAATATTCTGGACAGAGAAACTTTAAATGTGTTTTACAGTATTAATTAAATAAACATTAAAGAATTATATA